CATATTTACGGTCATGTTACTCAAAGAAATGTTTGCAAAACATCGCTTTGATAAGCTAAGTAACATAACATTATAGACTGCACGATAGTGCCACAACATATTTTTATGTGTGATCAGGGATAACCACCGTAGACATTGAGGGGGGCTAGCCCCCCCAATAATTAGAAATCGCTAAACTCTTTTCTCAAATATTGCCAATTCGAGAGAGAGAGATGAAAGTTGCGTGTATGCGCGTCTGTGCGTTTCTCTTTCCTTAAAGAGAGCAGCCCGGAAAATGGAGCGCAGCTGGAAGAAAACAAAACTAGAGGTATTTTGTATTGCATGGCGGGAAAGTACTTCTACTTAAAGAAAAGCTCTAAAAACTGCTAGATCTACTTACTTTTCGCCTCTCTTAGAAGAGAACAAACACAACCCCAGGCATTTATTCAAAACAGTGGCTAAATTAACGAAAAATAAAGCATCAACAGGCGCAGACATTTCCCAACAGCACAGCAGTAATGACTTTATGAACGTCTTTACTTCCAAAATCGATACTATTAGTGATAAAAAAAAATAACCGTGCAGCTGTGAGCTACAATATCGCATCAGATGCACTATACATCCCCTGAAGAAGAATTCCACTCATTCTCTGCTATAGGAGGGGAAGAATTGGATAAACTCATTTAAATCATCTAAACCAACAACATACCATCTAAGCTACTAAAAGAGGTGCTTCCAGAAGTCATAGATTATCTTATGAATATTGATTCGTCGTTGTCATTAAGATATGTCCCAACTGAGGATTTCCAGTCAGGATATAGACCGTATCATAGTACTGAGACTGCTCTCATCAGAGTTACAAATGACCTGCTCTTATCATCTGATCGTGGTTGTATTTCTCTATTAGTGCTACTGGATCTTAGCACTGCGTTTGACAATATCGACCACAACATCCTTTTGAGTAGACTACAAACTTATCTTGGCATTAGTTGAATTGCATTGTCATGGTTCAAATCTTACTTATCTGACCGTCATCAATACGTAGCAGTAAATGAAGAGATATCATATTGATCACAAGTACAGTATGGAGTGCCACAAGGCTCAGTACTAGTGTGTATGTGTGTGTGTATGTGTGTGTCAGTAAGCAGCGCATTAATATAGAATGGTAATTAAACGCTCTAATGCACACCAGCACACCAGTATAGGTGTGTGTACTGAAGGAGCTAGACGACGTATGATGACGTGTGACGGCATAGAATATATTTTAAAATCTTGCTAATTTCTTATAAAGCCCTGAATGGTTTAGCTCCTCAGTGCTTGAGCGAGCTCATATCGCATTATAGTCCTTCACGTCCGCTGCGATCTCAAAACTCTGGCCATTTGATAATACCTAGAATATCAAAATCAACTGCGGGCGGCAGATCCTTTTCCTATTAGTGCCCAAACTCTGGAATAACCTACCTAACATTGTTCGGGAGGCAGACACACTTAAATCTAGATTAAAGACCCATCTCTTTAACCTGGATAGTTGATATAAAAAACTGGATGACTAGTCATTTCCTACTGCTAAATTCTGAAAAAACAGAGGTTTTAATTATTGGACCAAAAACCTCCGCATGTAATAACCTAAAACACTGTCTAACACTTGGGCCCAATCCCAATTCAACCCCTTAGCCCTTACCCTTTCCCCTACCCCTCCATTTCGCGCGTTCACGTGAAGGAGTTGGGGTGTCTCAATTCTCTTTTTGTTGGAGGGGTAGGGGAAGGGCCAGACAGCCCTTCAAACGAAGATTTTTCGGGACCACACTTCAAACGAAGGGGTATGAATTATCTCAGCGTAAACCGGCTTCAGCGGCAACATGGCTGCCCGAGCATTTATAAATCTATGCAAACACGGGAGAATACATCGCGGTTTCAAAATAAAAGCTCAAACCCTCACTCAGAGTTTACAAGTTTTGATGTCCACATATTCATTTAAAGGGGTCATATGTTGCTATTTTAAAGATCATTATTTTGTGTATTTGGTGTAACAGAATATGTTGACATGCTTTAATGTTCAAAAAACACATTATTTTTCAAATACGAGCTTGTAATACTCCAAAGAGAAAGGAAAACTTGAAATAGCATCATATGACCCCTTTAATTACAATGGCTATAGCATTTCTGTCCTAAAGAAATGGCCAAATATTAAAGATTAAGTGGACATTTGAATGAAATGGTGCTTGGTCAATACTAAATGAGGATTAGATCGCACAGTAATAAAAACAATCGTCAGGCCGTTGGCGCCCCCTGCAGGCCTTTGTTGAGTATTTTAAGCTATTGTTCACTTACATCTATTTTTATTACCACAAAATATTTATTATAATTATAGGGCACTATGAAATCCGTTTTATTTCCAAATTCATTTTTCGTCGATTTTTTTTGTGGGAAATTAATCGTTTAGATTAATCGATTAATCAAAATAAAAATAGTCGTTAGTGGCAGCCCTAAATTGTAATGAGTAATTTTCTTTCCTGGTGAAAATGCAGCAGGGACCCCTCATCCCGGCCGAACTGCTCTGCATCGGGCTTGGACCGAAAATGCGTAGAATGCTGTAAAACATGACAAACAAACATTGACAAACATTATGTGATCTTTCCATTAATACAAAAGGATACTTTGTCACATACCCAGAGTTATCCAGCAAGACTTAGTGAAATTATGCAGTTGCTCAACCAAGTTACTGTGCAAGGGTACTGTGATCAGTGTATATCATTAAAGATATGAAAGATTGGTGGTGCGTCGCTCTATCGCCATAATGAAGAAACCGCCACATACACACACTTTTTTTAAATTGTTCTAATAAACCGAGGTCTCTTACTATTCAAACAAATTGGCCTTTTTACTTTTCATATATTCCAGTGATTTAAAGTAGCTACAAATAAAGTCTATTTTAAATACAGAAAAATAAGGTTTCGTCCTCATACATTGGCATATGTGGGTGTACACAAAAATTGTACTTCCGTCATGTAAGTCACTGTCATTGCAATGCCACAACTTCCTGTTTTCGATCCACACACTCTAAAGTGAATAATGGCTGAATTAAATCGACAGCTCCAGGAATATTTGGCTCAGTCTAAAATCGGAGCGAAGACGATATCACAGTCCAGTTCTAGCACAGCAATAGACATCGATGAACCGACTTCGGTGCCAGGGAGCTGGTTCGGCAGGTGGTCGAGTCCGCTCTCTGACAGAGCTATCGCATTATAGTCCTTCACGTCCGTTGCGATCTCAAAACTCTGGCCATTTGATAATACCTAGAATATCAAAATCAACTGCGGGTGGCAGATCCTTTTCCTATTTAGTGCCCAAACTCTGGAATAACCTACCTAGCACATTTACATCATCATGCTAGAGTCCACATACAAGCATATTTATGTTTATATTTATATTTTAAACCACAAAAATTAAACCACAATATCTAGAGAAATGCTCCCACCATACCTCCATGCACCACTGCATGGCTTATGTAGTCCTCCAAGTGAATTGTAATAGGGCTGTCACGATTCGTCGATTTTATTCGACTATTCGATTTTTTAAAATCCTCGACTTAATTTTGCTTGAGTCGACTAACCGGCAAAATACCGGAAGTGGCGCATTTCACAGACGAAAATGTATAAAACATTCTTAGTCTGTTTTCCAAGGCTGCATGATATATTAAACCCAATAAAAATCATAATTAAGCATAATTGTGAATTCACAAACGCTACGATTTAATTAAATAATGATATGCGATGCAGTTCTAAAAGGCCAATTTGTTTGAATAATAAGAGACCTTGGTTTATTAGATGACATCGATGAACCGACTTCGGTGCCAGGGAGCTGGTTCGGCAGGTGGTCGAGTCCGCTCTCTGGATCCAGCAGCCGTGGAGCGTCATCAGGCCAAGGATCGAGCAGCAGCTTCTCGTGGCCGTGGTCATCAGAACCTGACCCGTGTTTGCCGGGCATGAGTCAATCCCAGCGACTGATCGCGTTCGGAACATGTATTTTCTTCTCTGCTCTGTGCTTTGGACTGTCGGCACTTTACGCTCCTTTACTTCTGCTGAAGGCGCGCAAGTTCGCTCTGCTGTGGTCGCTTGGCTCAGTGTTCGCGCTCCTCAGGGCGGCGATCCTTAAACTCATTGCGACTCCAACACCGGGAGCGGCAGTGTACCTGTGCTCTCTGGTGGGTACTTTGTATGCGGCGCTGAGCCTTCACAGCACGCTGCTCACAGCTCTCGGAGCCTGTCTTCAGATCAGTGCCATTGTGGGTTACATCGTGGCTTTGTTGCCGGGTGGGAGTGCCGGTGTTGTGCCCAATTCTGACCCCTGCCAGATTATTACCCCCCTAGTATTGGTAGGTTTAGGGTTAGGTGTGGGGGAGGGGTTAGGATTAGGGGTGGGGTTAGGATTAGGCAATCAGATTGCGATTTCAGCGAGAGGGGTAATAATTTGGCAGGGGGTCGAAAATGGGCACGACACCTGCATGAGGTTTGTGGGTGGCACGGCAGCGTCCGCTATTAAAAGAACTGTGACCGGTAAGGCCATGCCTGTATGATCAGGCATTTCACGGACTGGGCAACAGACAATTTTTATCATGGAAAATACTTTTTGCTCCTTTTTTGCTGGTACTGAAATGTTTGTGAAACTCTGCCTGTATCCTATACTGAGGAGTTTAACGTGACCCTCAGTCTGTGGATGGGCATATCCACAGAAGGAAGTTTTGTGACTTGCACTGAGACAGGGACCATGCGTATGACCAAGACATCAAATACTACTTACCTTTAAATGTTTCTGAACTGCTTTTGAAATTAACTTTTTGTAAATAAACTTAATTAACAATGCTTATTTTCTTCTTCAAGTCATGTGGTCTGATTAAAGGTAAGCCATTTATTTAAGGACAGATCACTTCTGCATCATATATGGTGGTCATAAATGTGTAGCAATGGTTCTCTATCCTGTTCTTTGATTGTCTCCCATGACACGCAGTAGGCTATAGGTTCTGGAGCTTTTACTAATGAGCTGACGAGTTAAATCAGGCATGTTAAATAAGAGTTACATTCAAAATGTGCAGTGCTGAGGCAATCCTGGACCAGAGTAAAGGTGTAAACACATTTTTCTGTTGCTCTGTCAAATCCAGTCATTTCAATAGGAATACACAAAATCGGGAGTTTTGCTTAAAGGTGACATATCATGAAAATCCGTCATTTTTTGTAACTCGTGGGTTTTTAATGTAATCTTGTGTGTGAATGAGAACTTAGTTTAATACTCACATGCTGTGACAGCCGTTTTCTGTATGTGTGCTTCAGATATGTGCACTCAGAAAACCGTGTATCAGAAGTTTAAACTAATATTGTTTAAAACACGATTTCAGCGCAATAAACATGATAATCAGAACCAAAACATGATTTTTAGCAGGTACGAGCTGTAATGGCGCAGCTCTATTCTGGAAAAGGGGTCGGGGAGCAACAGCTCATTTGCATTTAAAGAGACAGGCACGAAAAACAGCGTGTTTCTGCTTCCACTCAAAATAGGCATTTTCAAAATGATATAATAAATGATCTGTGGGGTATTTTGAGCTGAAACTTCACAGACACATTCTGGGGACACCAGAGACTTATATTACATATTGTAAAAAGGGGCATATGTCTCCTTTAAGGGCAAAAACATTCCTCAAACATTGTGTGTTGACTAGCAGAAAACTACTTGTTTTAAAAGTGACTTCTGTGTGAGCGGTGCTTCATTCACTATTGACAAAACTTTTTGGCATGACACAATGCAAATAAACAAAACTAACACATACCTTCTATTTATGACTTTCATGATGCTTTGCCAGATAGAATGCTTTTTATTGTTTTGTGAAAATGCATTTTTGGAGTGGGCAGAGCTACCGCATGCCATAATGCATAAATATAAACCAAAAATTAGTGCCATTTGCCATGTTTGGTTAGGAGAAAAATCACAGAAGCGATAGCTTTAGAGATCGATTGTCACTTTATGTAAAATCTGTTCAAGACAGTGTTCAAAGCAGGACTGCTGTGTTCTCCCGGTGATCTACCTTCCTGCCAAGTTTAGATCCAACTCTAAACAACATTCTTGAGTCAATCAAGGTAGGTAATTTAAAAAAAATGTTATCACAGGCTTGGAACTAAAGGGCAGTCACGGTTGGCTTTTCGCTCCACTGACCAATCATACACATGTAATTGTGGGAGATTCTGGAAATGCAAGTTAATGTGTATAGTAGGGCTGGGCGATTTTGCAAAAAATTAAAATCTCGATTTTTCCAGAATGTTTGACCGATTCTCGATTTTTTACGATTTTTAACTAGCCAACTTGAAAATGTAACTACAGCATGATTCAAGTTACTTTTTCTTTATTAACTCTCAGGTTAAAGAAAATTCCATTCCAAGTGCAGCACACATGAAGTTGTCAACATGATGTAAATGTTAAACAAATCACTTGTTAAATATCTTTGCAGAAAAGATGCAAAAACTACAACTACATATTGTACAAACTTGTCTTATACATATTGTGTTCAGAAATAACAGGAGGAAAATTATTTTAGAAAATCTCAAAAGTCAAGGTGTTGTCAATATTGTCAAAGTGTCTAATTCCAACATTTGGTAATATTTCACGATTCCTCGATTTCTAAAAAATAAAATCGTGGCAAAACAAATTCGAATTAATGGATAAAATCTGGAAAATCACCCAGCCCTAGTGTATAGTATTCAGATCCACTGCTTTTAAAAAATTAAATGTTGTGAACTGCCAGTGAATTCACAATGAGAAGACGTGACCAATAGAGAATCTCGGGCTTGTGTGACCACACTCCTAAGGACCAACTAAGGAGTGGGTGAAAAAGAAATGACAAGAGCAGAGAGAGTTTACATAAATTTTGCACAGTCTATTATGGTTTCATACAAAAAAGGACAAAACAATGACAAATTTTGTGACGAACTGTACACACAGAAACAAAGTCTGCAACTTTGTCACTCAAAGTAGCCTCGTAAGGTTACAGAAAGATTACATCCATTATTTTACATAAAAATGAACTTAAATAAACAGTGCTGAGACACTGGGGGAATTACACATTCAAGAGTCCACTTTTCTCTAGTAATAGACATAGTCCACAAGATGATGCCAGTTCAACATCGGCCCTCACCTAGATTGACTTGCATTTGCTGGATGACAGAATCTGACTGAGGAATTCAATGGTACACAAAACATTGTGTTTTATACATCAGAAGCATTAAAGCCAAAAAAAAAGAACAACAAAAAAGAGGGGGCTCAGGTGCTGGTACAAATTCAGCTGCCACTGTCCGAGTGAATCACAAAGCAGATCAGCTGCTCAGTGCAGGGAAGGGATGTCTCTAAAGATTTTACAAAATTGTACCATGCATCACAAATAAAGTTTCCTGGACCACAATCATTAGTCCTTTATAAAAGATGTTCCTCACTGCACCATGATGAGCCCCCTCTTACATCAGTTATTATTCTCAGTGCTGATGTAAGGTTAGAACAAACGCCATGTAACGTGTACACCAAGCAGATAGCAAGGGGCATCGTGAGCCAAAACATCTGGCCCTGGATAACTGGTACCACCACCATCCGTCCAATACATCACAGAGAAAAAGCTAAACCTTAGCCACCAATCAGGGTTCCATGCTGATTTTAGTGAAGTGCTTCCAGACTTCGGTCCAAGCCTGCATAATTGTTTAGACCCTCAAGGAAGCTGGTATTGTAGCCATGTGTGGTTCTTTGTTTACCCTGTCCTCACTGTAGTCGGTTTTACCCCATTGTGCCCGGGAAAGCAGGTGTGACCATTCCTACCGTCCGCGACCTCCCCTCATAACACCACGTGGAGCCCCTCGCCTGGTATTTGGACCCACATTGGGACCAGGGCCACCTGGGTTTTGCGGTCCACCACGGCCCCAACCACCTCTTCCTCCCCGTGATGGAGGTCCAAACCCACCTTCGTCTCTTGGTGATGGTCGGCCTATGGGGAGTTAGATAATATTAGTATACAGAATGCCTTGTGTGTTTTACATTAAAACAAATAATTGTCACTTATCCATCCCTCACCTGCTCCTCTGTCATCAGGCCCTGCACCAGGGGAGTCCATGTCACCAGTGCCCGGTCCGTCATGCCATGGCCGTTTGCGTGGTGGCAGAGAGGCCATATCCATGCCCTGTAGAGAGGAGGAACGCTCTCTACTGGCTGGAGAAGGACCGTCAAGCATACTGTGGTCTGGCTGCTGACCATCCCGATAACTCTCATGACCTGAACACATACACATACACTAGCATGAATTTCATCTCATGAAAACATCCAAAAAAAGTGACAATCTTTCCAAGTCGCTGCCACAATGGCAGTCTTAGGCTCTTTGTTTTAAGTTTTAATTTGTGCTGATAAATGAAGCTAAAGTGACAAAGAAATGAAAATGGAGCAAATAAAATGTTTAAGACAGACATGGGCAACAAGGGCTTTCCGTTCTTCATAAAGAACTCTAAGTTAGGTTAAAGGATGCCCACAAACTATATTCTGTTATCATCTACATTTCATATTACTAGTAATACTTAATGCTATACTAAAATTTTATGTAATACTTCATGTTTTAAACAGAGATCCCATGGTTTCCTGTAACCTTCTCATTGGTCATTTCTTGCCACTGCTCTCTCTACGTTGCTTTTGTTTCTGAGGCAAGTCATAGAACATGATGGAATGCTCATTCCTAACCAGCCTGTCATCCAATTTGGCTTTGATCTTATTTTTTGTTGTTGCAGATCTCAAAAATTGTCTGTGACTGGAAAATGTGGGCTAAAATCATGTAGTGTGCACTCAGCTTTATGGCCTCAGTGAAAGAATAGGAATTTGCTCAAGTATGACTAACTGCACTGCAACAAGAACATGTACGGACATCCCCTTCATGCACTTCTACCTGAATCTCGCCCTCCCTCCCAGCCCTCCTGGTTTCTTCCTCCTTCATAGTGACAGGGATAATCATCAGGAGTTGGGAGAAGCCCCTTTCTTCCTACACCACCTAAGAAAGATGTCATGTTCAAACCTGACATCTCAGTTTTAATGGACGCAAGGTGGGCTGATGGACAGGTGAACGGAAAAGGTTTTACCTCCTCTTGGCGGCCCACCACGTGGTCTTCCTCTTCCTCCCCAACCTTGGCCCATGTCTTCTTGAGAATCAAAGCTCTCATCTCCACCATACTCATCTTGGTAGCCACCCATTCCACCACGGCCACTCGGGCCACCCCTCCGGTATCTGCACATTCAGAGCCAGACAATAAAGACCATGTATTTATCAATCAGTTGACAATGCCAGTGAGAGATCAAAAATCCTGCCTATAAAGGTTTGCAAGATTAATCTTGGAATCAAGTAAATTAACTTTTGGTGGAAAATCCCAACTGGTGGTTCAACTAGGTGGCAACACTGAAGTTTGCTTTTAAGAACCAGTTTAAGAAGATGGAATATGCTAATAAAAGCAAGATAAAAGACTCAGTGAGGTCATAACGTATGTGCTTCTGTACAAGTTTGTGTCAAACACAAGCTGAATACAAAGATAACTACTATGCGTCATCTTCTGCAGGGACAGGTAAGGTATCACAAAGCAGTCATAGACTATCTTGAACATGTCTGTACAGGATCATGATTAAAAGAGTATATTTTAAAACACTCAACTTTGTGAGAGACATAACAGGCAGAAGCATACCCCAGGCTTTAGTTTCCAGTGTTTCAGACTTAAGAATCTTTTTGAATAATAGCTATGTTTTTTCTTTGTCAGTACACAGTAAAGCTAATTGTGGACTACATCTCCGGTGGCATGCAACACTTACGAGTCATCTCCATGCTGTGGTCGTCTCTGCCTCTGGTCAAACTCCTCACCAGAGTCCTCATACCCATCGTACCTGTAAAAATGTGTCACCACGCACAAATTTCACATTCTAATCCCCCGGACTCCGGCCATTTAACAAAATCATCTTTCTAGGTTTACATTAGGGCTGCACGATAAATCGCATGCGATATTTAATGCGCATCTCGTCAGTAAAGCCATTCTGTAATCAGCGGTAAATCTCCATCACGTGCGGGCTTTCACATGGAGCAGCATTAACTACACCGAGCCGTTGTTCACTGACAAGCTGCGCAAAACCACGATCATTTTTTGCGCATGTTTTGCGCAGCTTGTCAGTGAACAACGGCTCTGTGTAGTTAACCCTCTGGGGTCCGAGGGTGTTTTGGGGCCTGGAAAAGTTTTGACATGCCCTGACATTTGTGCTTTTTTCAGTTGCTTACAAACATTTGAATGTCTAAAGTTTAATAACACTGTAATCAGCACAAACTGGGCTACAATAATATGTGAGCAGCATGTATGTACGTGATTGTGTTTTTGAGAAAACAACGTTTATGCGTGCTTAGTGAAAAACTACAATTTTAAAGTCACTGAAATAAGGCGTAGACCCTTTACAGATTGAAATGCTGTATTACTCTTATATGTACGATCAAGTATGAAGGAGCATTTTAGTTCTTTTCGCTGTCAACATTCAAATCTGCAAAAAGTTCCGCCGCCGGAACTGTCGACCCCAGGGGGTTAATGCTGCTCCATGTGAAAGCCCCCACGTGATGGAGATTTACCGCTGATTAAAGAAGCGGCTTTACTGACAAGATGCGCGTTAAATATCGCATGCGATTTATCGTGCAGCCCTAGTTTACATAGTGCTGAATGAAACACACCTGTCGTGTCCCATGTACTCTCCATCATGCGAGGGAAACCTTTCCTGGCCTTCCCATGGGCCTCCAGAGATTCCTCTGTGACCTAAAGAGTATTCCTGCCCAGGACCTCTTCTCCAGCCCTCTTGATAACCCCCATCATCACCCCAGTACTGGCCTCCATCTGAGCCCTGACCAGGGCCTTGTCGCTCCGGTGGGGGTCCCATGTTGTGGTTAGGTGGTCCTCGAGGACCATCTCCTGACACAAACAGTAAGGGAAACCGCCATCAAGTCGCTATTAACTCTCACATAGTAGTCTTGATTAAATTATCTTGCATATGAATAATTTTTCTTCCCACACCGAGTGGGAAGAAAAAGTTCACCGAGTATTACCTTTCCCGTTAGGACCCTGCTGTCCTATTCCATGCATCATTGATTGAGGCCCAGGATTCTGTCCCTGGAAGACATGCATAACATTTCAGCAACAGAATCTACCCTGACTTTTATTCAGTTGCATCTTTTTGTCCTAAACATTCGTGTATGTGTTTATCCCAACTGTTTCTTCACCTGGTTAAACTGTCCACGGTTTCCATCAGCCATGTGTGGTGGTTTGCCTTGCATATATGGTGGAGGGCCCTGCATATTGCCTGGAGGTCCTTGCATGTTTACTGGTGGCCCTTGCATGTTGTTTGGTGGTCCATGCATACCCCCTGGAGGAGGCCCCATTCCATGCATATTTCCCTGCATGTTACCATGAGTCCTCGGTGGAGGCCCCATCATACTCCCTGGCATGGGTCCCTGAGGGCCCATCATGTTTCCATGAGGCACAGGCCCCCTCATGTCCTGATGCATCATACCTCCCTGTGGTGGCCCTTGTCCTCGTGGTGGTGGTCCCATCATACCAGCTGGAGGTCCACCAGAACCCGGGGGCATTCCTGTTGGACATGCCAGGAGGTCCCTGGGGTCCCATGTTCCTGTGAGAGCCTGGATGACGTGGAGGTCCGTGCATGTCTGGACCCATCATGCCCTGAGGAGGGGGACCTTGGTGCATGGGAGGTCCCGGTGGGCCCATTTGGCCTGGAGGTATGAAAGGACCAGGCATTCCACCTGGTCCCATTGGAGGCATGTTGTGCGGCATTTGTTGTGGAGGCATGGACTGAGGGAAGCCTTGTGTTGGTGGGGGCATCGGACCACCCTGCCCTGGAAAGGGTGGCATTGGCCCTGACTGTCCAGCAGGGGGAGGCATTCCCTGCTCTTGCAACTGTGCCATTCGCTCAATCTTCAGTTGCTATGGACAAAAACATAATTTCTTTATTAATTAATTAAGCAGTGTATATGCATAATACAGTGTTTATTTACATTTTTACAGCACAATGCTAAAGCTGTAAATGTAATCATATTTAAAGACCTCAAGCAACATTGGGTTTGTATACTGCAGGGCAGCCATTTCCTGCTCAATCTCTGCTTGTGTCTTCTTTTTGCCATCTACTGTCTTCTCATCCTTCCTTTCCTTTGGAACCTCTCCAGGAGGCATCGCTGGAACCTTATTCTCTGCCCAGGCCTATTGAGTAAATCAAAAATTGAGGAACACACATCTAGTCTGGCAGTGCTACCAAAACCTATGTATAAAATGATCATACTGACCTGCTGAAACTGAGCTGGAATTGGCTTTGCATAAGGAACCTTTTTAGTCGGGGGCTTTTTTTGGTCCTTCAGCATGACCTCTTCCATTCCCCAGTCCAGCCCTGGAATGCTCATCTCTGGCTCTGCCACCATCTCTTTGCCTGAGCACATAACTACCAATTATAAATAACCAACCAATTGAACTTCAATAAATATTGACTGTGCATGTATTAGTGTCTTAACCAGTTTGTTCTTGTTCCATGGCAGCCTTCAGCTGTTCTGGGATCCCCATGCCAGGAATGGCTGCAACACTATTGGTCTCTATGTCATCTAGAATTACCCAAAATAAAGCATTATGAATTCATATGTACATCCTCTATAGGGCTTTTAAATTGCAAGAGGTCAATACTAACCATACTCCACTCCATCTTCTGACATTCCAGGCAACAAGTTCAGATTGTATCTGTCCCGCATCTTGTCCCCTGGCCGATTTCTTGTCCAAAATTTGCTGAGGAAGTGATCACAGAGCAATGAGCTAGAGTCTATGCAAACTAAAGCATTTTAGGTTTATAGTTATTAATTTTTTGTTTCTGGCCGTTTACGTTTATTTAATTTGTCTATTAAAATTTAACTATAAATAAAGGAGTGTGTTCAATAGCACAGGGGTTTTCAACCTGTGGGGCCCAGCACCTGTCAAGGGGGGCGCGAGCATCAGTTAATTCAGAGACGTTCTCTTGAGAATTTATGAATATGAGTTAACAAATCTTTAGCCATCCACTAGGGGGCAATCTGACTCCCACTGCTAGTCGACAGTTAGAGCAGGGTTGGCTCGAGTATCAGTCACGCTCAGTGTTGCCAAGTCCGCGTTTTGTAGTTTTGGGCTAGTTTTGAGTAGCAATTAGGCGGGTTAAATAATGTTAATCAAAAAGAGCAAAATAAAAATTGTTCGCTGCTTTAATAGCTTTAGTGGATATTTGCTTTTATGTTAATGTTAATAAAGTAATTAGGTGTGACTTAGTGATGCGCGGATGAGCTAAAACGTCACCCGAATCCGCAGCTTCAAATAAATTA